GTATTTGACCTTCTCCCTCTGACTTATTTCACTTTGCACAATACCCTCAATGTCCATCCATGTTGTCACAAATGGCTGGATTTCATCATTTCTTATGGCCGAGTAGTATTCCATTGTGTATATATACATCTTCTTTATCCATTCGTCCCTTGATGGGCACTTACGTTGCTTCCAAGTCTCAGCTATTGTGAATAACGCTGCAACGAACACAGGGGTGCGTGTATCTTCACGCAATGGTGTTTTCATGTTCTTTGGATAAATACCCAGCAGTGGAACAGCTGGATCGTATGGTAGTTCTATCCTTAATTTTTGGAGGGATCACTATACTGTTTTCCATAGTGCCCATATATTTTAAATTCACCAATAAAAGTGAACCTGAGGGGGGCTGGCCCAGTGGCACAAGGGGTTGGGTGCGCGTGTTCCATCGTGGCGGCCCGGGGTTCACCAGTTTGGATCCCAGGCGCGCACCGATGCACCGCTTGGCAAGCCATGCTGTGGTGGCGTCCCATGTAAAGTGGAAGAAGATTGGCACGGATGTTAGCCCAGGGCCAGTGTTCCTCAGCAAAAAAAGAGGATTGGCAGATGTTAGCACAGGGCTGATCTTCCTCACAAAAAAAAAAAAAGTGAACCTGAGAAACCCAAGGCATCCCACCCTCGACCCCACTAAAGACAGAACCCCAGGTCCGTGCATGCACGTGTGTGCTCTCTCTCTCTCTCTACCCATGACCTTCCTGTGTGGCCCTGGGTATGCCATGTATTCTCCAGGACCTGTGAGTAATAAACCTCATTTTTTTAAAGTTCTCTGACGGCTGCTGCAGAGGTGCGTCTTGCAATCACAGTAAGAACCACAAGGGCCGGGCCAGCCACAACACTGGCTCCAGTCAGGGAAATGTCTGTGGGGGCTCAATAGTAGTAGGGCCAAGGTGAGTGCCCCCAACATTCCTGGTCGATAGCATCATTACTGATAACCTGAGAGCAACACAAAGCAACCTTGAAAACATTATGCTAAATGAAAGAAGCCAGATAGAAAAGGCCACCTATGGTATGACTCTATTTATATGAAATGTCCACAATAGGTAAATATATTAAAACACAAAGTAGGTTAATGGCTTCCAGGGGATAGGGAAAGGAGAGAAGGGAGAGTGACTGCAAATGGGGACAGGGTTTCTTTTTGGAGTGATGATAATGTTCTGGAATTAGACAGTGGTGATATTGTACAACTCTGAATACTAAAATAACTAAATGGCATGCTTTAAAAGGGTGAATTCTATGGTATATAAATTATACTTCAATAAAGCTTCTTCAAAAAGAGAGTTAATTTTTTTAACTTCAATGATTTTTAGTAAATTGATAGTTTTCCAACAATCATCTCATCCAGGTTTACAACATTTCCATTGACTCAAAAAGATTCCTTGTGCTCCTCTGAAGCCAAGGGCCACTCTCACCCTCAACCATTCTCTGCTTTTGTCTCTATAGACCTGCCTTTTCTGGACATTTCATATAAACAGAATCATACTAGATACTGTGTCTGGCTTCTTTCACTTAGCGTAATGCTTTTGAAGTTTAGTTTCATTACAGCGTGTACCAACAGTCTGTTCCTTTTATTGCTGAATAGTATTCTATTTTGTTTATACGTTCACCAGTTAACTGACATTTACATTATTTACAGTTTTGGGCTACTATGAATAATCCTCATATGAACATTCACATACAAGTGTTTGTGTGAACGTGTTTTCCTTTATCTTGGATAAATTTCTAGAAGTAAAACTGCTGCATTGTATGTTAAGTTTATATTTAACTTTAAAGAAATTGCCAAAATCTTTTCAAAGTGGCTGTACCATTTTATATTCCCACCAGCAGTCTATAAAGGTACCAATTTCTCTACATCTTTGTCCACACTTACTGTCTGCCTTTTGGGTTACAGCCATTCTAGCGGGTATAAAGTGGTACCTCATTATGATATAAACTTGTATTTCCCTAATAACTAATGATGTCAAGTATCTTTTCTTGTGCTTATCTGCCATCTATATATCTTCTTTGGTGAAGTATCCGTTCAAATCCTTTGCCCATTTTTTTAACTGGGTTGTTTGTCTTCTTACTGAGTAAGTGTTCTTTATATATTCTGGATATATTCCTGTAACAGATATATGATTTGCAAATATTATCTGCCAGTCTGTGACTTGTCTTTTAATTTTCTAAATGGTAACTTTGAAGTGCATAAGTTTGTATTTTGGTGTAGTCCAATTTATAACTCCAACAGCACAATCTACAAAGGGAGTTATAT